TTTCTGCGCAGCTCATGCCTGCAAGGATCCGAGAAGCAAGAATCAACTTCAACATGTGTCCGAGCCCTGCTGCTTCCGACGTGACCAATTGCTAGCAACGTTTCCTGTCAAGGGAACATGTCGCGAACATGTAGAAGGCCAAGCGTCAGGAGTGATGAGCGAGGCTACTGCAGCTTCGGACTTGGGGATACTGTTGAGTATATCATTGCTTGGCCAGGGATGGCCGGGGCATCAGAGCTAGTCCTAGGAACTTGGTGAGGACAGGACCCCAAAGAACGGCTTCGCCGGCCTTCGTGAATGTGGATACCACAGCAGTTGGTTGAGGTGCACTTGCTGCTGCAACCGGGGTCGAGGCCAGTCAAGCTCCAAGACAACACCGTCTTGCTGTCGTCCGTGGACTTCACCTCGATCACTCCCTGTGGCTGGTAAGGCGAGGAGGAACCGACGTAGGGGCTCAAGTCGAAGACGTACAAGTCATCACCGTCCACGGGCTCTGGCTCCTCTTCTGGCAGCTCGATGATGGCGCAACCAATCCGAACACCGTCGTAGTCGTGGACCACCACGGCCCGGCCGTCGATGTCTGCGGCATTGTAGCCCGTTTTGACGCTCAGGTCGTTCACTGCCGACGGCATGGATGGTTCGATCACGTAGCGGACATCAATCCAGGGGTCTTCCGGGTAGAGGTCCTTGTTCCAGTAGTGACCACCGACGGAAGCAGCATTCGCGCAGGTGGTGCCCTCGTGGATGTGAATGCCACAGCAGTTAGCTGCAGTGCATGTGGTCTTGTCGCACCGGGGGTCGAGGCCTTGCGTGAACAGCCAGCTGATCGTCTGGGTTTCATCATCCGACTCGACCTTTCAAACACAAATGACTTACAGCTTGCTTTAGACCGGTGAAAGATTGCTAGATGCTTCAGGCTTGCTTCAAAGGACACTCTGAAGCCTGATAATTGTCGCGGCTACATGCACCTGCACAGAGCACAAACATCAAGCAAAGAGAATGAGCGCCTGGACACCACCGGATGTCAATGGGAGGTCACCACCATATTTGGGGTACTGCTCGAAGACCGTGGTGTCGGACGGCTCGATGATGCCACAGGCAATTTTTCTGCCCTTCTTGTCATGGATCACCACAGTGCGGCCCAGCACGTCGTCGTTTCCGAGCCCCGTCTTCACTTCCGTGGACAGCACATTCGATGGGCTGGAGGTGTACCTCACCGACACCCCGCTATCCCAAAGGGGAGAGCCTGCAGGCTCCTCGCAGCTCGTGCCTCCGCAAGGTAAGCGCACTGCGCCAAGTTTCAACAGCAGTGTCGCGGCAGAATCTGGCTACACGTGATCATATGAAATCGCAGTGAAAGTGACAACTGTTTATGATAGTTGTGGCGATCTAGAAACTATCAGAATCTATCTATCTATAGGACCATCTACGAATATAGAAGCA